TCCTGGGCTCAAGCGAGTCTCCTGCCTCAGCCTCCCAAGTAGCTGGGACTACAGGCACCCGCCACAACGCCCGGCCATTTTTTGGTTGCAGCCATTGTTGTTTGGCAGGCCCGGGCTGGGGATTCCAACCCACCACCTTAGGTGTACATGGCTGGCGCCTTAGCCGCTTGAGCTACAGGCACCGAGCCAGGACTTTTTAAGTTACTCCAAGTAACAAATCCCAGACCTGCAAATTAGGGCTCCAGCATAATATGAATGGTAAATCGGTAAGGAAGGCTGGGTGGGGCAAAAGCCTGTATTCCCCACACCTGTGGAAGGGGAACTGTTGTTCCCTGCAGCTGCTACTATATATATATATATATATATATATTTTTTTTTTTTTTTTTTTTTGGGGGGCCAGGGTTAGGTTTAAACCTACCACCTCCAGCATATGGGGCCAGTGCCCTACCCTTTTGAGCCATAGGCGCCTCCTGCTACAATATATATTTGACAGTACCTTGGGTCAAGTGGAGAACAAAGAAGAGGATCACAGCTCCACTCATCTTTTCCATACTCCCTGTATCATCAGGGAACCAGTCTTCCAAAGAGCCTTCAAACTCAACACCTGGATTCCAAATGTTGTGGAACCTGATGGTCTGTGAAGTCACACCCAGAAGGGTGGGGGGTCCTCCCCAGTGGGAAGGAGGAAGGGCTTGTATCCATGGACAAGGACCAAGGGGCATTCTGGTTGCCTTGAACTAACAGCCTTTCTGCCCCTATCTCTTAGTTCTCTAGTGCCTTCTTCAATCTCACATTCTCTGAAGGCTGAAGACAGTAGAATAGTCACCAGGACTCATAGGTCACAAGTGACAAAACCTCAACTAAATCAGCTTAAGCAATTAGAAATAGCTAGAGTAGCCAGAGAAGGTGTGTGATCAATCAAGATATCACAGTAAAAAAGCATTGTGATTTATTGTATCATATAAAATTATAATGCCAAAAATAGCATAGACAAATTGATAATGTTAACATGGTTACTCATGCATCATTATTTCCCCTATTACATTTTATAAGTATTAAACTATTTTCAAAGAAAAAAATCTTTGTATTTTAGTGCCTTTAATTGCACTCTTTCCCTAGTTTTTTCCTGAAATGTTTGTTTAACTGTCGCTCTTGCTAGAGTACAGTGGTGTCATCACCTCTCACTATAACCTCAAACTCCTGTGCTCAAGTGATCCTCCTGCCTCTGCCTAAGCCTTCCAATTATCCAGGACTACAGGTACCCATCACTTGGGTAATTTTTTCTATTTTTATTTATTTATTTATTTTTGAGATGGAGTCTCACTATGTTGCCCTCAGTAGAGTGCTGTGGTGTCACAGCTCACAGCAACCTCAAACTCTTGGGCTTAAGCGATTCTCTTGCCTCAG